CAGACAGTTTCATGCTTCCCCATTATAGCCTATGTGCGAAACGTTGAAACAGCAAAACAGTTTTGACAAAATGAAACATAACAGTGCTTTCAAAACTAAACAAAACTCTAAATGAAACACTGTCCCATCAAAACAGAAGTTGAAATGAAATGGTGCTGTTTCGCACAGCCCTATTGTCAAAAGATCTGCAAAAGTGATCTGGAGAAGGAACATGTACATAGATGTAGTAATTGAGTTGAATGGAATGGCCCACACCCACTGCCATACATCTACAAGCTAGTCATGTTTCCCTAGGAAAATACTCCCTTTGCCTCCCTCAGTTCTTCTTATTAATACTTTAATGAGTTATTACAGATCAACAGATCTTGCACAACACTTGTAATTCTTGATTCAGCTCCTATCCAGTTCTGCTCATCTGGTTCTACACGTGAGGAATTTGCCACAGATTTCACGCACTGCTACAAATGTGGACTGCAGGGTCCAGCTTCTAATTTAAAACAACAAGACTTTTGTAGCCCTGATGGATACAAAAAAAGGGCAACAAAAACCAAAACACAGTCTAGCTAAACCAAACCTTGAAAACGTGAATTTGGGATCAGATTTATTTGGTTATTTAAACACCTAAAAGGAAATGCAAGCATCTAGTGGAATTTTCAGAAGTACTTCATGGTGCCTTTGAAATCACTGATATTAGAAACTGAGGCACCTTTGAAAATCCCAGGAGGCATCTATCTGCATCTTGTAGGCATATAAACACCTTATAAAAACCAACCCTAAATGCAGGCAGCATTACGTTCCTGAGCCATGTATACAGTGTGAAACAGAAGCTATGAAGGGGACACAACTAACTAACACTCAAACCTAAGGATGACATTATAAATTACAACATTTCCAACACTTTAAATCATTTTGGGAAAATTGTTTAGCAAATAGCCTCATTGGTAATAAAACATCCAAATATGGAATTGCGTGTGGTACATTATATGTGTGGCACACTACATTAGTAATTTATTTACATCTTTGTTTCATTCTATTGTATGAAATCATCCAAATAAATTGCTAATGGAAATTAGAGCAGAGGGAAAAAGGTTCTGTCAGTGCCTGGTCTTGGGATCCAGTTCTGTGAGTTCAAAAGGTGGGGAAGTTTCAGGGCTTTGAGGTTGGGTTAGAAGTGAATGCTCACTGAACCTTCCTGGTTTTAAGAGGATTGAATCCTATGGTGATATATAAAAGCTAATTTGACAGTCTGCTAAATAATACACAGATCCAAACAAAGATCTGAGTTTATGGTAGCTCCTGATTTTTGCCAGGTTTCAAAAAAAGCATTGTGCATTCAGTACAAGTAATCTGGCAGTCAGCTTCTCTTAAAACTTGACAGATAGGATTTGTTACATGACAAATAGACTAGGCTTGGCCTGCTATCGTCAGGTAGTTAACATTTTCTCTTTGGGTGCCCTCTACTGGTTTTTGAACAGTATAACAACAATGGTCATTTCAAAATGCTGTCAAACTTACATAGTTAACTACAGTTCTTTGCTCATGGATAGCACTATGCTCAGCTGAATGAAGTGGACTGCAATCAGTCTACACAAGGACTTCCTACACATCCTTTCATAGGAACTGAGCCTTCACTTACAAAAGCTATACACACACACACTTTGATTAGTCTATAAGGGACAAATCTACTCTGCCTTCTCTCTCTGTCTCTCTCTCTCACACACACACACACACTTTTTTATTAGTTTATAAAGGGCAAATCTACTCTGCCATCACAATAAAATAGTTCAAATTTTATGGGAAACAAAGCCAATGTAAAATTGAAAATATTGTTTTTATTTAACAGACCACTTTAATGGATTATTTACATACGATTTTTATAAAGGGCTACCATTGACACTCATTTGACAATGTTCACATTAGCCATCTTCAAAAGAAAAAAAAAGGTTAATAAAACAGTGCTCTGGACTTCAGAGATGTGAAGATGAAACCAGGCAGGATTTCCAAAACATCAAACAAATAGGTCCTCAAGTCCATAATCAGACTCCTGACTATGAGGCCTTATGTTCAAAAGTGCTGAGCTCTCAGAAGCTTGCAGTTACTTTTATTCATGCTAAATTATAATTTTCTTCATATGCAGTCCCACTGAACTCAAACAGGAATAAATTTGCACTGCGCTGCTATAGAACTGAATTAAGAATATCATGGGAGAATAGCATTGGAATACATCTACCTAGGTCATTAAATCCAATCCCCTGCCATGCCACATAGAGCTTGCTAAATTTATTAAAAGGACTATCTTTAAGCCAGTTAGGTGACATGCTTCTACCACTTGTATTTGAAGGCTATTCCAGAATGTCTGTACTATGATGTTTAGAAACGTTCTAACTTTATCAAAAAGGTGTTTGGGGCCAGGTTACATCATTTTTTTCTTGTGCTAACATTGTCCTTTTGCTTTACTAACTCCTCTTTTTCTTTGAGATCAAACCTATCCCCTCTCACCCTTCCAAAACTAACCAAACTCTCTTAGCTATGTCTCATAAGACAGGGTCTCTGTTCCCCTGATCATCCTAGGTGCCATTCCTCTTCACCTTTTCTAGCTTGAATATTTGGAATATGATCTCTTTTTTTTTTTGCTTGTAACATTAGTAAATTGTGGTAAGTTTTCAACAGGATTTTTTTTTGAAGTGGGATGGGATTTAGAAAACCTCTAAATGAATTAGAAGCACAAGTCTCATTAACTTTTACTTCGGTGTTTTCAGAATTGCATCCACAGATCAATGTCTTATTTTAATAACAGCTTCTGAAAATGAAGCTTTAAAATATTTGTAAGAGGAGAAAGTATGGCTTCTTTCCTTCTCTCTCTCCTGTTATAATTTCATTTTCTGTCCTTCTCTCTCTCCTGTTATAATTTCATTTTTCTTTTTTTTCTGGAGGGGTCTCAAGTCAGTTGTGCAATTCCTGGGTACAGCTGGTCTGCCACTCTGTAACATGTCATTGAGGGTTGAGCTGGGCACTTATATTCACTGTACACCTCACAGTATTTACCTCTTCCCAGACAAGTTAACACAGACCTCTGTTCCCCTACTAGCCAGGCCAAACCTGGCAGGTTTTATCACTTCAAATTCACTGTGGCCTTTCTTGGAATTACAGGTTTGTAGGATTGACCCAATGTTCTCAGCATCTCTCTCAATGGCTTGGGTAGGATGTTGTATACACACAATGCAAACAGCCTTGTATAGTGGGCCTAACTTGTATTCATAGCCTAGCTGAAAAATTCCCCACTACAGCACAGACCAGAAGAATTCTCTAGGCATTCAGAAAACAGGCTGGTATGAGGGAACCAGGACCACTTAGCTCCTCTAAACTCAGGACTGCTGCATTATTATACCTCATGGACTAGAGAAGCCTATTTAATAAAGAAAAAAAGTGAGTTACGACAGAAGCAATGAAACGGTATATACAAAGTCCTGCCAAATATAGCAACCACAAAGTGTGAATAGCAAAAACAAAACATAATTTTAGTTATAGCAAATTCAGATACTACTTAAAGCTGATGAAAATGTTTTCTCCAGTAGAACTGTTTACCATTGGAAACTACTTATTCAACTAAACAAGCACAATGGGAACATATGGGAACTGTTATTGAAATTATCAGTGGGATACAATTGAAGCAATTCATTCTGATGTTAAGGTGGAATCATTTCCTTTGGATAAAATAGGCAACCATCAATCAGTTAGGAATGCACATGTTGCTAAAGTCAAAACATTCCAGTTTGACTTTATCATTTTGACACTTAAAGCATGTCTGATCACATCCTAACAAAATCAATGTGATATTGCAATGAAACATTCCAGTAATGTTGTTGCAAGGTGTCAAAAATATTTCAGAGCTGCAGTACAGTGACATAGCTTGGTACCCAGACCACAGGGACAGCAGCAACTTCCAGTTACCACAACGCCACCAGCAGCCATTTTCTTTCACCCTCCTGCCTGCCAATTTTGCACCTGGTTGCCTCAGTCACCTTCCCCTAGTTACACCACTGTTTAGAAATTTTGGTTTATAGTAAATCTTGCCATTCTTTTTCTTATGATTTGGGATGAAAAGAAATGTTGAAATTCCTTGCGGAATGAAAATTCCCTTCCCAAGCAACTCTACTTATACCTTGCATAGATATGGAATTTTTGTTGGAAACACAATGGCTAGGGACAGAAGTTACACATAAAACAATTTAAGTGATCAGAAACTGGTTTAAACCTGTAACAGAACATAAACCAGTCATATGGTACATATAAATCAGTTTCAAAATGGCTGAAACTGGTTTAAGATAAACCTGGTTGAATGTAGTATCAGATTTAACTGATTTGGGTCAAAATGATTTATGAAACTTCTGTCCCAGACCCCTTCCTCGTTCAAGTTAAATCACAATCCCCCGGCATCCCATCATGCTTTCCAGGCCTGGGCTGGGCTGTGCTGTCTGCTCCAGAGAGCATGGCTGGCCCCACCCCTCTGCTCCCTAGCTGAAGCAGTGAGGGCTGGTTGACAGGGGAGTCGGGGAGTGAGGGGGAGACAAGCTTAGCTGGGGATGCAGCCCAGCCTACAGTGGGGGTGGGGACTGCCCCCCCAGGCAAACCGCAGCTGGGGTGTGGGGCCAGGGTGGGGGTTTAAACACCCCTTCCCCCACTCAAACTTACTGCTGGCTGTAAGTGTGGACTACAAATTCCAGAGTCACTTGGAAGCAGAAAGAGGAAGTGATGAGCAACCCTGCAGAGTCCTGTTGCTATAATTCTGGACTGCAAATCCCAGATACTTCAGGGGCAGCAGGAAGAGGAAGTGAACACACAGCCAGAGAGCCATGCTATAGTGCCCCAGGCCTCTACCCTGAGCCACTGCAGGCACACGGCTGCATTTCCTAAATGAAAGGTAAATAAATGTCTGTTCACTTCTGTTTCAATTTAATCTGTGCAGTTTAGACTAATCTGCAAAAACTGAATTGATTCAGCTTTGGGCTTTTTGACTGTCTGTACCTAGCTCTTATTGTATTTTAAGGTTTCTCTCAACATAGAATCGTAAAAAAGTTACAATTCTTCTTGTAGAAGACCAACTGATTCTAGAACATGGGTGGGGGAGAGCAGGCAGGTATGTGTGTGGTGGGGGAATGGTTATGATTTGAATGGTCTTTATTAGGCAGTTTTCTGTGAAACAAAAAACTGCATTATCCTGCTGCCCCTGCCCCAAAGAGTTGTCAACAACTCTTGCAATTAATCATGCCAAATTGGGGTTTCCTTCATTATTTATTAATAGCTTGAGTCTGTTCATAAAATTTGTAGTGTATGTTATTAGGCAAAATGCTCATAAACACAGCTAAATATAAATCACATTTGTACCTAGCTTCTCTTGTCATTAGTAATGGCTTAATTACTGGTTTAACATTCTGAACATCATTATTGTTTTGTTCATGACATTCTATAACCTGTTTTTACAAGAAGCTGTCCTGATTCATGCCATATAGATTCAAACATTTTTTTTTAAATATAGGATTCTTTTTCTGCATCAGAAGAACCTGACGAATATTCACAGCTTTTTGAGTTAGTTTCTCCATTCATAGGAATATCTTCTTTTCCTCCATTTTCAGTGGGCTTGGAGTCCTTGGCTTGATAATGTTTCTTCACCATCAAAAAAAACAATAAAGCTATCAAGTAGGATGGTGCTCTCAGGCCTGTTATTAGGCCCAGGTATGCCTTCCTATGAAAAGAGACCACAAAAGTCAACTTTATTTTTTTCAAAGGACTGGCAAGAATGGCTTCTGGAGCCAGGTCTCCTGCAGAGCAGATAAGTTTCCTGAAGTCTCTAGCCTGGCTGCTCTGTAAAGATGCCTAGCAATTGTGTAGCCAATGGGAGTGAGGAAAAATACAAATAACGTGGAGTATTTTTCAGGCCAATGGTTTTGGTTATTCTTAACACACTTTACTCTACAATCCCCTCTCAGTGCAAAACTTCACGAGGAAGTGGCTTCCTGCACTTGTCAACATATGCAAATAGGTAAAGTGCTCTCAGTTGCCCAATAGGACTATTTCCTATGAGATCATATCTTAAAGGTGGCTAATGCAACAAAATTAGCAGTCCTGCTAATAGACACTAGTTTTTGATAAGTCACATGAGTTTGGATGTTTGCTTGTGATCCATATGATTACTATGCTTTTTTAATGGTCACAAAATTTATGAAATTTATACATTATCCAAGAAGGCCTCTCACTGACATTAATGAGAGTTTTGCCTTAATAAACATTATAAAAATAAGCAGGGGCATTGGAACTTTGTCCCAAGATTTATTTGTTTGAAATTCTGTCCTGACCTAAAATCAAGTTGAGGCCAACATTAGGTTACCATGGCCACAGCATTCAAGCAATAAATTATCTACTGTAGAAAGAAAGTTAGTAAGGCCCCTCGTGTTTTGATTTGACTTACCTGTATGCATTAGAATCATATATCCTACAAGCTCCCCGTTGTCCACAGCTTCCTCTTCCCCATTTCAAGCAAGTCCTATCTATCAATGCACCATAATAAACTGGGGCTGGAATTCCAGCTGTAATATTAAAAAAGCAAAATAACTTCAGGATGTCACATGGAGAAGCACACTTTCTCATCAAATACTTGTCCTATGATTCACTACTGCTGTAGGTGGGTGATAGGGTACAGGGAACTGTTTACTCCCTTTATAGATACTGGATTGGGAGTTTCAGGGTGAGTGAGCTGGGGGCCCTTATTGGTTCTGTTTGAAATACCGCAGTTCTCCTAGTCCAATAATTAGAGTTTGGCCAGGCTCCCAGTCTGCAAACACTGCCCCCCGCCACCTCCCCTCCAGCACTTAGTAGCCCAATGACTCCCAAACTGCTTTCTCAAAACCATTGACAGTTTGCAGAAGAACTGCTGTTCTCAGCAGTGAACTGGATTCTCATTGTATTTTGAGAACTATACTTGGGACCATGCCATCTGGTGCTGTGATTCAGCCACTTAACAGCCTGAATTTCACTGAAAATCAATGCAATAATTTTATACAAAATAGAACAAAGCATTAAGGACAGCTAAAAATACACAACCATTTCTTTAATATAATTGCCCACATATGGTGTATTTGCATTGAGAATCTTGTATGTCACTCAAATGGAACGAGAATGAGGGCCAGGTATGCATAGAACCATCTTTGTGTGAAGTGGTTCACATTATGAAGATGCTTAGGAAGAGTCAGGATTAATCACTAGCACAGGTTTTACCTTTTCAAAGGGCGCACTTGGCATTTGAATCCCATGTTTTGGCTGGCTCTGCCCCACACTGTTCTGTACCTTCTAAAAAGATGACGCGCCTAGAGTGGAATCTTGGGCTCGTTGAATCCTATGCAAGTTTTGACATGATCTTCAACAGGATCAAGATTTCAAACTTGTGTCAAACCACAATTGTGGGAGCTCTATTATCTTGCACTCTTTTGCAGATAAACATCTCTTACAAACAAGTTTATATTCTAACTATAGACTATTGTCCTGTAAGAGCACAGGCTTGATGACCTCCTTATGAACATCCAAACCTAACTGATCTGACCCTTAGCAAACTACGAAAACAGACTTTCCTAATTTGATGTAGCTTTTGATATGAAATATAGAACATCATGACAACAGTTATTTACCACATTTTATTAATTTACTGTTTTAGACTTCTACTGTTTTCCAAGAGGCACCATTTAAAGCCATAGAGGTAGTCAGAGTTAATTTCTCTTACCTAGGGCCCTCATGGTGAGTACATACAGACCAACTGCAAGAGATTTTAGCTCTGGCTGAACACACCTAGAATAGATGTATATAAATGAATACAGTGTCTATGTAATCAAGTGCCCATTAAAATGTGCCATTTCCAACTAGAATTATGGGCATTTTTACATGTGCTCTGGGACATGGTGCCAGATGCTTTAATTAGCAAGCCACACTAATTAAAAGCGCCTGTGCATCCCTGCACTGAAAAAATGGTGGCAGGATGTTTTTAACTAAAGGTCATTGAATGTCTTTTATTTCCAAGCACCCCGTCATCATTTTTTCAATGCAGGGATGCACAGGGACGCTGATACATGTGACATTGAAGGCTGCTGGACCGTGTCAATTTCCATGCTCCAGCATATTCGATTAATGGTTTTCCAGCACATCAGAGCAGGCTCCCCACACATCTGTAGGAGCCCTATGATTCTTCATAATAAATACAATGCAAAGCTGCAGGACTGAGTTGTTTCCTACACCTGCCAAAACATACTATGTGACATAGAAAGAGTGAATTAATCGATAGCTCTCCATTGTGTATCCCCTGGGAAGACAATGTGTTGCAGATAATTACCGAGGAGAATTTTTAAGGAAATACCAATACTTCCATCCAGGATTTGCAGAAATGGATACCAGCAAGCACCTGCTAGATTGCCCCCTCTGTCAGGGCTTATTAGTTAACAGGAATGGTCATATTGCTCTGGTGCAAAAACATCTGGAAATGGCAACACCGGAGCACCATCTTGAAACCTTCTAATGATATTCTCAAAAGTACCATCTAAGGAATGCTGGAATACTTAAAACAATACGCCTGCCAAGTTGATTTATAATTATGTCCCAAGACATCACACCAAATTGGTGTTGTCTAAGGGTTTCTGTATTTGATTTTGAGTTAACTGTCTCTGTATCTGCTGTTTTCCTTTACACTTATTGACGAGGCAGACCACCTTATTAAATAATAATTACATCTGCAAAAAGGAAAAGGGAATTAAATTCTCTTTTTTCATATCCATACTCAACAAAGTACTAATTTGAAGTTTCATCAGGATTCCCACTGACTTTGCATCCAAGTAAATTTGGGGAATTTACAGACATGGGACTTTCTTTTATTCTTCACTCAGATGAAGAATGTACACTAATTTTGTATGTTTAGCTCCTAACCACAGAAACATGCCTAGTAATAATAATTTCTATCATAATAACTTGTATTTGTTTTGTGTTACGGCCATATTCATGATACTAATATATGGAGTAGATATATAATATTGTACAATTTTAGGGGAGAATTACATACCCACTTAGCTTCATGAAAGATACAGGTACACATGAATTATTATAGATTCAGTGGCAATTACAAGGAAGCATAATCATTAAGGAAAAAGAGAATTCAAACAAAGAAGAAGCCATCATGGGCCACCTTGGTGGCAACTGGTAGATTTTTTTTTAAACATTAGACAGACGGAGGTAGTTAGCCATGTTAGCCTGAAGGCAGACAGAAGGCAGTGTAGAGATGCTCCTTATAGACTGATTTAGTTTAGTGTTTTAAGACACTAAACATTAAGTCATAGTTAAGTTTGGCAACACAATACAAAACAAACATTCAGGGTTAAGAAGATACAGGAGTAAAAGGCTGTAGTTACTGCAATTTTTGGAAAATAGGAAATCTAGACCCAATTTTGTTCCCACTGTGGGGAAAAAAACCTTAAGTATATTAAATAGTGATTTTTAATTATACTTACCTAAGTGTAATCATATATGTTGGGGTGCCTCCTAAAGCATAGAAAAAAGCACTTATGACTTGTATGACTGTATAATAAATAAACTTCCTGGAACAATCATCTCTTTTTGGACAGTGTCCCAAAGTTACCGAAGTATTTCCCGATAGCAAACCTGCAACTTCAGTGCAGCTACAATTATGAAACACCTGAAAGATACAATTTCAATTTGGTAGTAAATCAATTCCTGGGTTATCAGTATTACCAGGCAAGACAATGGCCATCAGAAATGCACTATCATTGTTCCTCCTCTCCAGTCTGTTTGGTCATTCAGGGCCCTGCTAGAATTTCAAATTAAAGCTAGATAGAACCTAGCTATAGAGTTGTTATACACAGTGTCAATGTGTAGGGGGTGCTTGGGGGTGCACGTGCACCCCCTGAGAGTACTGTTGCACTCCCTGACTGGCCACACTTGCCACTTAGGCAATGGGCGGGGGGGGAGGGGGGCAGGCGGGAGCACCGGTGCCCCCCCCCGCAATCGCCAGCCAATCACTGCAGCTGCTTCCAGAAGTGGTCGCAGCCACTCCCAGAAGTGGCTGCAGCAATCAGCTGCAGTGACCGGCACTTGCACGGGGGGCACTGGTGTTCGGTCCCCCTGGGCAGCAAGATTGGCCTCGGGGTGACCCCTCCCTGTTGGCAGGACTGGTCACAGGGCATGTGCCCCCTCTGACTAAGGCGGCACCAGTTACCCATGGTTATACATTTTCAAGCAATAACTTGAAGCTGGTTGGCTCTTTTTATAGCTGGATAGTCATTTTTATTGTGTGAGAAAAACTTTGCACATGTGGCTGGTCTAAGTTCATTGCATGATTAATCAGTTAATTGTGTGATAATTTCTTTGCACATGCGGTCCATCTTACTTTGCACATGCATCCAGTCTAAATCTATTACACAATTAACCAGTTAATTGCGTAATATATTCAATGTATAGCAGGGGTCCGATATGTATACGCTATTAATAACTGCCCATTCTTGTACAGAAAAATAGGAAAAACGTGGGGAAGTTCTTACTGTGTTCTTTCCATGGCCTGTTGAAACCTTGCAGCCAGCAAGACAAGCTGTTATGTATGTGATTCCATTGTCTCCACAGACTGGATCCCATTGGTTTGAGGCACATTTGCAATCAGAGTTGCAGGAAGAAAATACAGTGTTTTCACCATATGCAACTGGTGTCCTGTAAAGTAAATATGGAAAGGCATAGCACTATATGAATACAAATCCAGCTTCCATTTAAATATCTGATACAATAGAGCAAATACTGTCAACAAAGACAATTTAGTAAATTAACCTTTGTATATATCGTATCTGTGATAGGTAACTTTGCCATAAAAATATGCTCCTCACATTCAATTGTATTCTGCATGCATCAGACACCCCTCCAAAATGTGATGTTGCTATTGCCCTAATGAGCATGTCCATGCCCAGGCACACCCCGGGCCTTTGCTAAAAATGGTTATGTCAATTTTTTTTGGTATCTGGTATACACAGAACAGGAGAGAGTGTGCAGATACTGTTTTCATGGAGGCATCCTCTAAACTGTTTGGACAAAATCTAGACATGCCTACTTGATATCATCAACCCTATATAACTAATCCTTTATTGTAGGTTACTAGGTTCTTGACCCTCTAACATTGATCTGTTGTTTCAGATTCCATCCCATCTTCATTGAAATGAAGATGGCCATGAGGCTATGAAAAATTCTGTGATAAAGAAAAGGACTTCTGCCAGTCATGGACTAGAAACATCAGACTTTGGGCTCTAATAGACATTGAAATCTTTGGCAGTACTACATTCTAGCTTCAAATAACCTTTTTATTATTCATTTAATAAATGAATCACATTGACATGTTTATTTAGCTAAGACACATCCTCTGAACAAATGTGATTCAAATGTTATCTTTTTCAAATCATTGTCTTATTCCAAGTAAGTAGCAGCACGTTAATTTCAAAGCCTTACAAAACACTGAAAAAAAGCAATGGATAGTATTTTCAAATGGTGTGAATCAGCATATTTCCATTATGATTGAAACCAGACTATAAGTACCATGTCTCTTTGATTAGAAGATGAGGTCCCTTCCCCCTCCCCCCATTGAACATAGGGGAAAAGCTCCTCAATTTATAATTGAGCATAAAGCAGCGGGCGGGGCAGAAGACAAGCAGCTGTTGCAGCTCCAGCTCCAACTGCATCTCAGGGTTGGGGTAGAGCTGGAGCCGGAGCTGCAGCTGCTGCCAGTCCCCCTACCCCCCCACCTCGCTTCACATGCTCTGTTATTCCTCCCCCATAGCCCCCAGTCCCCCACCCCCATGCCACTTTGCCCTCTCTCTCCCCCTCTGCTGCACTCCTCCTTACCTTTGCTCCACACTGGCATGCTCCACACCTGCTATGGGGCCAGGCTATAAGAGAAGTGCCAGCTCTACGCTATTCCTATGGGGCTGGGCTGAAACCATGCTCTGTGCCCTGGGTTGCAGTAGGGATGAAGCCTGTCTTTGTGGATCAAAGGTAGGGGGTGGGGATTGAGGGGCAAGTGCGGGGGAAGACTTAAGGTGGGAGATGGGAGAAAGGGTAGGTGGGGACCTGAGGCTGTGGGTGGCAGAAATGGTGTGGAAGGTTGGGGGAGGCACAATGGGAGGCAGGCAGCGGGGGCAAGTTGCTTCCCTCTGTCACTGTCTGCCCCCTACTACCTGTCCCTCTACTATCTGTCCCTCACCACCCCCCACTGCCTACCCCATTACTGCCCCCCCAGTTGCCCTACCACATGCCACCTTACTGCCTCCCCAACTGTCTGTACTTTAACACCTGCCCCATTACCCCCCTCATCACCTCTCCCCACACCACTTGCAGTAGTGGGGGCAGGGGGGAAATTTACGATGATCCTCCAATAATTTGATTCCATACATAGAAAATGATAATAAATGTATACATTTTCTGTCGCTAGAACTTAATTACTAGGGGTTGGTCATCTTACATTCAGGGTCATCTTGTATTTGAGTAAATACATGATCTGGCTTTTCTTGGCATATAATCATTCAGCCTTTGTGTAAAGTAGCATAAGACTATGTCTACCCTAACAATGTTTTAGCATTGTATGAACATTGGTATGTTATGCTGTCAAAGTAATCCAAATGCAGACATGGTTATACGGGCAAAGCTGTACTTTTAACTGGAACAATAAAACCAGGGTTTGAATTATGGGGCAGCTTGGGTGGGGGAATGGGGGCTGACCCCCCCCAATAAGAGATGAGAGCCCCCCCCTGTAAGATTTGAAAATCATAAGGGGTGGGGGGCTTTGATTGTATTAGGGCATTGTGATGGGCAGCCCTTTTTTTTTTTTTTTAACAGACTCATCCACCCCCAAGAGTCAAAGTATAATTTGAACCCTGAGTAAAACTACTCTCTAAAGCAGTGGTCCCCACCTTTTTACACTCAAGGCACCCCTTACTAGATTTGATGCATCCTGTATTAGGCTCAAGACACTCCTCAGTAAATGCCAGCGGTTAATTATTATTTGTTTCTTGACTAAAGAAACATAATATAGCAGTTTTATTCTTTTGCAAAGAGTAAAGAAAGACCTACAACAGATCTGAATACTTCTGACACTGTGGATTCCTATTTGAAATCTGTGGGTTTATCTTGTGAATCATGTTTACATACCTAATAGTGCTAACATTGTGTGACATCCCATGGTGCCCTCAAAAGGAAGTCAATGCATCCCAGGTGGGGCATGGCACCCTGGTTGAGAATCAATGCTCTGCAGCTTGTTTTGTTTTGATTTTTAAATAAACACAGATTTACTGGTATGACTGCACGTATACTATAATCACATGCCTTCTCAACCTTGATCAATGTAACAATGCTGGAAAAAGTGAATAATGTAGACCTGGCTAAGTGATGCAGTGCATTTTCTTTAATCGCTAATAACTCCTTGTGCTATTTATTATTGTGTACTGTTGTCAAAAAAGTTAGGGTAACATATGCTTTAGAATATGTATGCATACCCATCATAGGACACTGTCAGTCCAGCCACTACATGGTTCTCGCAGCCCACAAAAAAATGTAGCAGGCTTATAAGGAAAGCAAAAAACGAAACACCAAATCCAAATTTTGTAGCTCCAATCAAACCCCATTTGTACTTTTTCATTAGAAGTCCTCCTAAGAAAATCCCAATGGCCACAGCAGGTAAGGACGTTAATCCTGAAAAAGAAAACAAGGAGGAGGACTATTTAATTAATGTGATTGCATCCTGATAGATGCAACTAATTTAATCAGCAAAGGCAAATTGAGATGGTTGAAAGTTGTAATGCAAAATATGTGCACATGTTCATGAATCTCACAAGACCAGGAAAGCTGGTCCCCCAAATTGCCCTTCCCTCCTAAATTTAACATTTGTGGTTTAAAAAATTGTATACTGCTGAAAAATGTGTAATTAGGACCATGCTGTGTCTAAGCCTGTGCAGTGGCTCTGAGTTGTGGGTTTCAGGGCTTGTTTACACTGGCTCTGTGTAGAGACCAGGAGTGCCTCTGAGAAGCATGCCCATTCCACTCATTTCTACTCCAGATGTACCAAATCTCAACAGCACAATAGCTATTTTTGTGCAGTGCTGGGCATGCTCCAGTAAGTCCATATGAGATGATAACCTGAAAGCATTTTTGGTGTAGGCTCCAGGTCACTTTAAAGTGATTAAGCCAGTGGACAGTGTGCATTTCTCAGAAATGATTATGGACTCGGCATAGAGACAATGTGGACAAGCCCACAGTTTGGTCTGCTTCAGTGCTGCTCCTGACAAAGCTACAAAAGAACGCTTTGTAACTGTATGTATTCAAAATGTCAGGCAGATTTATTTTGGCAGCAACCATTTGCAATTTGGGGTTGCAGATAAAAAAACAGGGAGCAATACATTAAAGTTGCACTAAGGACCAGATCCAATAAGGAAATTAGGCACATCATAACTCTGTTGCAAAAGGGTCTCTTCTATTAGACCTTAAGATACAATGAAATGTACATCAGAGCACTTGAAAAGTAATCATTGCACAATGCTACTCACCTGTTATGAAGTTAGACTTTGATGCTGACTGACCATACTGCTGTTCCATGTATTTTGGTTTGTAAGTCAAGAAACCAACAAAGCTACTGAACTGTAACAGTACAGAACACAAAAATACGAAGTATATTCGGTTACCCAATACTGCTTTCACAGAAATAAAGAAATCTGAAAGAAAGCATATAAAGATTGTATTTTAAAAGATGCTTGGCATAATTATTAGTGAATAATGGGATTTAAGGCCAAATTCTGCAATCTATGGGAAAGTCCCATTGGTCTTAATGGGGTTTCCATGTGCGTATCAAAAGGCAGAATTTGGCCCTCAGTAAGAAGGGGCTGACCGGAAGTGATAAAACTCAGTGTACACAAATATGCCAAAGTAAGCCCTGGTTCTCTAGTAAAATAGACTGTTCAGGAAGACCACTTGGACATTAAAGTCAATGGGACATCATGCAGTCAAAAGGGAGTCACCTATAAACATCATTTCAGGAACTATGTGAACTTCCTAGGTTACCCTGTAGTTGATGGCAGGCATGGGTGACTGATGCCTCCTGAGTCTACAGGGGCACCAGATTGCTGATGGGGGAGTCCCCCAACAACTGATCGTTGAGCCTGGAACCACCAGCGGTGAAACTAGTGAAACTGGAAGTGTACTTCCAGTTTCACAGCTGGGGCTTCCAGGGGGTGCACGGCCAATCTCAGGGGGTGCATGTGCACCTGCGTGCACCCCCTACGCGTCACCAATGCATGGCCATCAAACAATGATGGCCATCATACAAACTAAACCAGAGTCAAAGTACAATGACTATGTAATGATATACATTTCCTTGCCTTCACCTTCCGATATTTCTGCCCTGAGTATTGCTGTGTGATGAGCAGAAGATACTATAAGCTTGCTTGTGAGGAAAATAATCTTCTGATATTTTTTAAGGTTTTCCCTATAAGCACATTTAAATAAATATAACAAATTTCGTTAATTTGGGTAATTATTTTTCCCCAGCTGCAATTTGTTCCCAGTGCAAACCTTTAAGTGCTAATTCTGACCATGTAAATCATCAGTCAGAGAGCATAAGGAAGCCCTGCACTCCCTTGTTGGTATGTGTACAACAGGCTGCAGAAAAATTAAAGGGCGCAGACTTCCCACAATAAACGTACATTGCTGCCATACATTGTATTGGGAGTTATTCAACCTGACAAAAGATGTGGAAGGACTTACCTTTCAAAGATGCTGAGGACTTCACTGGCTTTTGTTTTATAGGGCTGTGCTTCCCACTGTTGTCTTCCTTAATGTTGGAGAGATCAGATGAACTTTTATCATTACTTTCCTCCTCTGGCTTTTTCAGACTCTTTGGCAGGAAACAGAATGGTATGGCAGATATGAGGGCAGTTACTCCAGCTATCATAAAACCAAGCCACCATGCACCCACCCAACGGGAATCTCTTGGGGTTATGTTGATGCTGCCTAGAATAAAGTGGGACAAAAGCAAATTGTAGTAATGAAAACATTTTACCCCTTAATTGCAGTAATATCTACATCATGTGTTGGTTAATATTGAGATTTGCCTTGGTATTGCAAATGCTAAACACATTTTGCATCATTCAAGGTTCATGTGTCTTCGAACTTGAAAAAGGTGGTGAACAGACAAGATCCATAAATATTTGGGTCTTTTAGACCTTCCTGATTTCTATGAATCTTTTTGCTATAGAACATTGCAACAAGACATCTGGGCTAGGGACAGACGTTCAAAAAGTCAGAGCCTGAATTGATTAAATCTTTGTAGGTTACTCTAACCTGCCTAGGTTGAACTGGTTTGTAACAGCACAGGCACCCCCTCTGGACTGAGAAAATGCAGTTGCTCAGGCTAGGTGCCAGGGGGTGCTAAAGCATGCCTTCAGCTGCAGGGAAGCTAAGCTGGGAGGGGAGGGGGAGAGGCATTTCCAGCCCAGACTGCAGTGGCAGTGGCAGCAGTTTGGAGGGCTCTGGCCCACTCTGGGTTCCAGCACTGCTGCACTCAGTCCACCACAGCTCTGCCAGCCCTGCTTTGCCCCCCTTCCCCCCCCCCCACTCGGGAAGAGACTTGTGCTCCCTAACACCATGACAGGGGCTGCTGCCCTCATCAAGGACCCTGCCCCTTCACTGCTACAGCGGTAGGGCAAGGGCATGGCCAGATGCCAACCAGCAGGGCCCCTTAGGTGGGGGCAGGGACAGGGGTTATTCCTCCTCCCTCTGGCATCTGGTGGAGGGGGCTTATTCTGCCGTTTGCCCCAAGCAGCAGTGGCAGCATTCAGGGCAGGCAGACCCAGCTGCAGTCCCCCCTGGAGTACCAGGGGAATAACCCCCCTCCCTGCCCCACCTGCCTCAGGGGCCATGGCAGCCCCCCTCTGCGGCAGTGATGGGGGAGACCAGGCTCAGGTCCCTGCCAATGGGACAGGACGGGGGGGGAAATTAAACCCCACTCTGGCCAGACCCCTACCCCTGCCTGTCCATGCTCTGGCTGGGAGGCAGAGGGGTGGGGCCAGCCCTGCTGGGCTAAAGCAGAGAGCCCAGCCCAGAGAGCATGCCAGGATGCTGGGGGACAGGTTTAAGTTAAATCAGGAAGGGGGTCTGGGACAGCCTTTGTGGTTTGAGCCAAATCAGTTAAGTCTGATACAACATTCAATCAGGTTTATCTTGAACTGGTTTTGGCCATTTTGAAACTGGTTTTTATACACTGAATGTCTGCTCAGTTACAGGTTTAAACCAGTTTCTCATCGCTTAAACTGGTTTATGTGTAATATCTGTCCCTAGCCCTGATCATGTGGGTAAACTTCTAGCAAGTGAGGATTCCTATCCATTATCTTCAGTGAATATTGTTCAGTGACTAAGGTTATTCAATTATGAACATACTATATTCATCTCATTTTTGGATCAGCAGTGCATTGTATTATTTATTATATAATGACCATAGAATTCAAGCCCGAATATAGTAGTCTGGAAAGTGGAAATGGTTTCAAATACATGCTATTGTAGGTCCTCAACTCATAATAAGGATATCCAGTCCTTTGAACTTTTAAATTTACTTCAGAGGACACCTGATTAGCAATTCAAAGGAAGTTAGGAAATCTAAACTATGAACTTTGGAATTGTTAAAAAAAAAACAGTCTCCAATTAGAAAGAGAGAGACACAGAAAGGCTTGCATGGAAGGTTTTTGCATTTTAGACTCCAGAGGCTGTGGGGTAAGGGGTACTCTGGGGACAGACTAAGCTAGGGATGGAGTAAAACTTTTTGTTAAATGCTTTTCTAAAGCAAGGCCTAAAATATTTCCCAAGTCTACAACTTTTGTAACGGTATTTTTCAGTTCTTTATTCTCACCTTATTTTGAAACAAACTTACCAGATATATTTAATAACATGCATAAATAAAACTGCTGGCCAAATAAATCACTGTATAACACGTTTGGTTTTTTTTAAGTTGCTCATCACTTTTCCTTACCTAGATCCACAAATCCAATATCCACATACAGTCTGGCACACAGTGATCCCAACAGGAAACCAAGCATTGGACCAATCATTGCTATTGTGTGCAAAAGTGCTGAAAAGATAATGAAGCAGTTGACTGGTACATGTCACAGGTTTACAGCCCTACATGTCTTCCATTTGTTCTTCCTATGTTCATTTTAGAACTGTGCTATTCAAGAAAATACAAAGACAAACTTCTTGCTATGTCATGCAACTGTTTGTTTTTTTTCCCTTCTACTTTGGTTTAAAAGGAGCCTTGAGGGTTTAGGCAGACAAATGAGTTACTGCAAGGTAAACTAAAGTGCAAACATACAGTGTGTCTACTACTTCAGGGTAACTGCCCTTGCATGCACTCTTACCACAAGGTGAATGCTAAGTAGCTTGTTAGCCACAAAAGTGGGGAGAAACTGCTTTGCATTTTTAGCAATGTAAGTTCACACTTATCTCACAGTAACGTGCTTATTTGCTTATACCCTTAGCCAGTACTACGGTTGCTTTATTTACTATTTTGTTGATTCATTTATATTTCTTTAGTTCCCATTCCAGAATTCCAGATAAAATTAAACTACTCACATAAATCTAAAGCTGTACTCTTTAAGCAGGTAGAATGCACCAAAATTCTGGTGATTTAAAAAGAAAAGAAAAAAAGGTACGTGGAAATTAATACAACCAGGAGATTTTTTTCTGGTGAACAGCAACTGGCTAGGAATTTAGGCTACATTTTTTTAAAGAATCCATAAGATGTGTATAGTCAGTCACTGGATTTGGGTTCATAAATCCATTTGATTCCCTGGTAATCACAGCCTAAAATGGTTGCAGTTTTATTATAATATTGTATTCTTCAAAGACTGCAGCAGGAAAGGATCTAAGCTCTAAGGTAGAACAAATTTGATCATGTCACTGTTTCTTTCTAATCCAACCTTTTAAATCTATCTCAAACTTTTAAATCTATTTTAAGATTACCAATATATAAAGGAGCATCGTCTTCTTTAGCAAAATCGTCAAGGTAAGAAATTCCCAATGGTGTTATTGGTGTTTCCCCAATTCCACGTAACATGTTTCCCAGTAAGACATAAATCCACATGTATGATGATGCTTCTTTTTTACAACCTGTGAATAATGAGATCTCTATAATAGACAGCAAACCACAATCCTTGTTATAACTTATTTTAACAAACATGCTCTTACATGGCTCAGCTACATAAGATGAGGACTATATATTCATTACTGAACTCATAAACCCTATGGTAATCTTCTTCCTTTAAGAATACTCCTATATGGAACCAAATCTTTGGCATCCTTATATGGATCATTAAGGAAACATATCTAGAGAAAAAATAACAGATTGATATTGTCATAGGCATACTCTCTAACCATGATTCTTGACCAGGATGCCATGGCCATGTCATGCAACTCTTAGGTATGCAAACACCTACATGCGATTCACAAGAGAAACCCAAAGATTTTAGACAGGAATAATGCTAAAACCATTCTGTTATTTTTCTAGTCAATAAAAGAGTGAAATCTAGGAGGTGATATTGTCTGAGGGGTGCCTTGAGTCTAATGAGCAGTGTGCCTGGAGTTTCAAAAGATTGAGGACCACTGCTCTAATATTTATTTTACACCTTCAACTACATGTCTCCCAACCAAAGGTAACAGATAGCTGGTGGAGCTTATGTGAGCATCTCGGTTTCCATGTAACAATATACAGCACATTGTGTGATAGATACATTCTAGACCAGGGGTTGGCAACCCCAGAGGCAGGGTAGCTGCTGGCAGTCACAGAGCCCGGGCTGCAGGGCAGGGGCTTTGGGTGGGGGGCAAGGGGCACAAGCAGGGCATCCTGCCATATACCCCTTGCCCACATTTTGTTTTTCTGCCATGCCGGCACTCCGGCACCTTCTGACGTAGCCATTGTGGTGTTTTTTGGCACGCCGGCCAAAAAACATTGCCTACCCCCGATCTAGACTGATAGTGAGATGCTGGAAGATTAAATATATCCTAGTTGATTTTCATTTCACTTTAATCACAGCTTCAGTGTTTTTGTCTTTCAGAATTTCCTTTTTAACTACTGGGCTCCAAAATTGCCTTGAGAAATAATTCTCACTGCAGGTGATCTGAGTAATTCATTGAATGCAGTGTGAACTACAGATATTGTGGAAGTGGGGGAAGAAAGGACAGGCAACTGAGCTCCAGTAGTTCAAATAATTTTGGACCAGTAGGTGTTCCTATTCTAGGAGCAATTCATAGGATTTATGCATCCCTGGAGTCCTCAAAATAAAAAGGCCTAAGTAGGGGCTTTTTTTAGCAGTGCTTGGAATTTTCCTTAGTTCTAAAATGAAGTAAATTTCACTGTTTCTAAAATCCAATCTATAAGAAAGAAGTAATTATTACATGTACAACTCCTTGCAGTTACAATTTCTTACCTGGATCAGGTTCTATCAAGGTTTCACTGACTCCAATATCTTTCTGATCCACTGAGCAGGGATTGATGCTTGAAGTTGAATTGACTGATGACATTGCATTCAGTGTTGTCTCATACTTGTAACTGAGAACATTCAATGTTATGTTTAGTAGTGATGCTTCTGCACCAGTCAGAGGGATGTGGGAATATACTTTAGCAGAGCACATGAAAAATTATGTGACTAGTTATCATACTGGTCTATTTGATATAATAAATAGGTATTGGGCACGTCTACATGCTCATTGATGCACTTTTGCTAATGCATGTTAAATTTAGTACCTCCATTCTGAGGGCATGTGTAGATGAAATGGGGGCCCTAAATTGAAGCAGTGGGTTTTTAAACCCACCGCTTCAATTCAGGGCGAAGTAAACCCCCGTGTCATGCACACACCACACACTTACCTGCCTCTCTGACAGCCAAGGGGAGGGTGAGCTGCCGGTGGCCAAAGTGGCCCATGGACTACGGGAGGGACTGGTGCTTCCCTCCATGGCAGCTCAGATGGTCCTGGGGGGCACAATAGCCACAGAGGGAAGCACCGGGCCCCCCGTGCAGTTCAGGCAGGCAGGCTCCAGGGGCGGGGAGGGGGACAGGAATCAGGCTTGCCACTTTTTTTGGGTGGAGCCTGACTTCCCAGGTTGCTGCCAGGCTGCCTACAGGGCTTTCTGCATAGCTGCAGAGCTCCTCGGAGGAGTTTTAATTTGCTGTGCCCCAAGTCATTTAAGGCGCATTACTCAGCTGAATTTCCTACAGCGGCTGGAATTAATGTGCAATATGCTGCTGAGGTGTACAAACACTGACACCATTAGAGCAGTGCAAAAGCATTTATCCCTTGTTTCATCTACACGTGGGCTAAGGTAGTAGAAAAAGGCGCATTATAGCCTATTTTAATGTGCATTAGCAAAAGCACATTTTTTTTGTGCCACTTCAAAGTGCCTTAAGATAGGCTAATGCATATTAAAGTGCAGGTGTAGACATGTCCATTTGTGGTATATAATCATCCTTGCATCACATAAATTAATACTTTGAGGAAAATTTTCAATAGTAAAAAGAGGGTTAGCTTAGAAGTTTGAAAGCAATCAAGCAAGCGAGAAAACCAGAGAGTGAATGAGAGTAAAACCAAATATGACACACACAATTCAGACACAATGGGCATGTCTACAATTCCACCATGGCAAGCCCAAGAGCAATGCCCAATCATTCTAGTTTAGTGCATGGCAAAGGCCAGGACTTCAGCAGTGCAGCTGGTTTGGAAGTAATAAGAAGTGTGCCCAAGACAAAAAGCATGAGAAATGCCCTGAGCTCATGCCCAGAGCCAATACTAAATCAGAATGGCAGCCTAAATTATGGACTTCGGCACATGCTAAGTGGGACTGAATGGGAAGAGTATGCCTCCAAGAGTGTGCCCCCGGGGCTGGGGGAGCAAGTGGAGGTGGGACACATGGGCCCTGCAGGGGGGAGTAGCCCCTGCGGGGGCCATTTGGCTCTGGTTGGGAGGAGCTGTGGCCCCTGTAGGGGGGTGGTAGCCCCCGTGGGGGAGCTGTAACCTCTTGTGGGGGGCTGTTGCCCCTGGGGGGGGGGCAGCAAAACATATAGGTATTTAGAATTCATTTTATTATGATGATAGAGACACTGGTAGGCTTCCAAATTTCTTTAACACTGTAAATATACCAGTAAAACATTGCCCAAATGATTGCTGTCTCTCTCTCTCTCACTCTCTCTCTCTATATATATAGTGGTCTTTTTGTTTTAAATGTAAAGGAACATGGATTTTGGGGTATTTTGCAGAGTGCCTTTGGGATTTTTTTTTATCAGGGATTCTTCAGTTTTCCAATAGGGAACACCAGCATTCCTGTTCCTGCTAGGGAGGTCAGTGGCAGGACTCTGCCTGCTCAGAGATGGCTCCTTGAACCCAGCTGGAGGTGGCTGACCTCCTGGCCAACTGGGGTCAGGAGGACAAGCTTTGAGAGTTCAAAGCAGGCCACCACACCCAGAACATATTCCAGGTAATAGCTGCCCTGATGGCCAGGCAGGCGCACACTTGGCAGTAGTGCTGAACAAAGCCAACCCTGCAGCCATAGTCCACTAGCAGTTGGCCCAGAGGGGCAGATGCCTCTACTGGTTCTGCAGTCCCCATCCAGTTCTAGCAGGTGCGCAGCAGGTCTCAGCCAGGCAGCAGCCCCCATGGCCAGACTGCTGCAGTGGGTAGAGGGTGCAAGGAACTCTCAGGGCTGCTTCAGCTGGCACAAAGGGTAGTGTCCCCAGGTACCAATTAGCTGGGCCCTAGAAGCTCCTGAGAGTGAGTAGCCCTGAGATATTTGTTATGGCAGCTTTTTGTACTGATTGGGCCAGGACAGGGCAGCTTTTTATACTACTGGGGACAGCACAGGTGCTGGCCCTGGGCTCTAGTTCCCCCTGGCTGCAGTCCAGGAGGAGCCAGGCAAGGTTATTTTTCCCCAAGTGGCACAATTTGCCCCACACCATTGTGCATGTCTGGACATGTGTGGCTGAGGAAAAAAGCCCCGGCTCAAATTTGCACCATTTCTATTTGAGTTGCTGCAAGAACACATGCCTGCATGTGTGGATGTACCCTTAGAGTATAAATAGATGGCACCAAATGAAGCAGATCAACTGTGCCAGGAAGTGTCTCAGCACAGCTGATTGGCTTCATTGGATGAAACACAAATTACTCATAGTCTCACTCATTGATCCTGCAGGACAATGGGCAATATGTTCCCTGCTTGCAGAAACACACCCCAGAGAATTTCCAGGGCATGTATCTGAACATGGGGAAAATTGGCCCTAGTGCCATTCAGTCAATCAGCCATGGGACTGTAGTGGAATGTCAATGCACATCTGGGGAGTCCCAAACAGAGGAATCCCAGCAGGTGGTCCTGGGGCTATCGAAGCCTGATCCTGCATGCCTTGGGAGTGCCTGGGAATTCCTGAGACATACAAGATCAGGCCTTGAAGCCCTAAGAATTCAGCCCCGCCCCCAGCAGGCAGAGTGTGGGCAGCTCTGGGCTGCCTATGGTCTCCCACCTTAAAGAGAATGGATGTTGGCCGCAAAATAGCAGCCCAAATCATACCACTTATGTTGTGTCCACAAATTTGTTATGTGACAAGAGGCATGGACATCTGTTTTCTTGGTCGTTCTTTCTGTTTTTAATACCATTGTTTACATCCTTATCAAAGAGATAAGGGATTCTTTATGTGACTGGTGACTCTGCCTGGATAGAGGTGGGCTGACAAGTAGCCATATTTGATAATTACCTCCTCCTTCAGGGCACTGAAATTTCTTAGATTCCATTTCTTATGGCCATGTGCACAGATCGTGTTTGGTATGTTGAATGACTGACCCATAATTTTCCATTTTACCAGCATTTGCTATAACTACCAGCAGTCATTCAAAATAATGCATGTGGTGTCTCAGAGAGCCCAGTCAAAAGACAATGGCTTTAGTTCAACAAAGTGGAATAAGAAGTATAGAGTTACAACTTTATGGTAGTTTAATTAGTCATAGTTAAGACTTACTATCCCATGAAGAAATGAGGCATTGCTGTTAAAATACTTCCAGCAGACATAATGAAACATCCAAGAGCAATTGCTTTTGGTCTGTGAATTTTGGCTCCATAGTAACTTACAAATGCAATCATCAACAAATTACCTAAAAAAGAAAAAAAAATCACTACTAGATGCTTTGCACTGTGTTTGCTCTGAATAATTTACTGTATGTTACAGAATGCCAATTACCCATCTCAAAACTTCCATCAATTAAGCCAGCTATAGAGGAGGGAATGTCAAATCTTCTTTCTATCTGTGTGATTGAACTTTTCATAATGGTTCCAGATAAGGTTTTACTCAAGTAGGTGAATGACAAAGCAGCCAAAAACACCTGAGGAAAAAATAAGATAGAAAGTGGGAGGTAGAGGAGGAGAAATTAATAATACACAAATCAAGTAAGTCTGAATCCATGTACAGCAATTTGCATAAATTAAATCTTAATTTATTTACATTTATTAATTGAACACCAACAAAGAAATCTGTATATGCACATTCAGTAAAGACATGAATCCAGCAAAGAGCTCTTAGCTTTCAGAAGTGCTTTTCCCCTACTCGAGTCCCAATGCTGGAGAGGTATATAAGGTCAGCCTTTGAATTATAGAGCCACTTTCCTTGTTTGTGCTTAAGGCTGCTATTATTTGCTTACTATTCAGAAAGCTTGGCTTGCTTTGTTTTGTTGAACAAAGACTTCCCATGATAGTAGCCCCCTACACTAGAGAATTTAAAAAATTTTTAAAAAGCTACCAAAACTATTGGGGGCTACCTACCGTACTTAAATCCCATAATCAATTGTTAGGCTACAACGAGTGCTGAGGCCTAGCTGTGGGGAGAAGACACCATAAGTCTTCTAAGTGCAGCTGGAATACAAATAAAACTTCTGGTCAGAGGAGACTTATTGAAACTAGCCCACAGTCTATAGAATCACAATTGTGTTTTATTAGGGTTACTTCTTACTCATCAGGTCTTTTTGTTCCTCTTCAATTTATAAGATGTTTGGTACCAAAACATGAGAATGAAACGTAGGTTTTATAGCACTCCTGTGCTGGCAAACCTTCTGCCACTTATCAGTCTGGATATACTTTAAAGTATCTGAATTATATTTACTATACATGCCCCTCTTTGTAAAGGGCACTTTAGAATTTGACTTTTTATAGTCTTAAAAAATAGCATTTGAATACTGTAATTCAGGACTGGCCATATATCTCTCTGCACCAATGGGCCAGGAGTAGGTAAAAACCATTTCTGAAAGCCTGAGAGGAGCTCTTTTCAGGATTGAGGTCTTTATTGTAGGTGCATACACATAGACATATATGTGTGTATACACACACACACACACACACACACACACACACACACACAATCTATCTATACACACCTGCCCCCTCCCCCCACCACCCATATAGAGTACGTACCAATATTTGGGGAGGTTAGATCAAATTGAAAATGTTCACTCGATCTAAGGTAAGTTGAGATGGGGAGGCTAGGAAGGGAGAGGCTTGTGGGGGATCGAGGAAGGCAAACAGGGTCTGCAGTGGAGATCAGGGGGCAATTGGGTACGAGAGGGTGGGGTTCAGGGGGGCAAGCAGGGTCTGGAGTGGGGACCATGGGCTCAGTAGTGTTAATGGGGTCTGCAGAGGACCTGGACTGGTCTGTAGTGGGAAGGATTGGGTGCCAAGTAGGGTCTGAAGGAGGGATCAAGGGGCAAGCAGGATCCATGGAGGGTTGCTGGGGTCTGGGAGGGTTTGGCAAGATCAAAGGGCTAGTGGCATTTTCAGAGGGCTTTAGGGAATAGGGAGGTCCTGACTCCCTGGGACCAGGGGCTATTTTCTGTCCTCTAACCCTCCCCAGCCAGTGAGCCAACACTCCTCATCCTGTGTTGGTGGGTTTGGTGAGCTGGGGGGCAGCTGGCTGGTCTTTGGTGGGGTATGTCTGTTTGTAAGTGGGGTGAGAGGCCAGGGGGCTAAAATAGTCAGGTGCTGAGAAGGAGGTAGGGAAACCTGAGTTCCAGACCTGGGGCTTGTGGCTGGGCTTTCTCAACTGCACAGGGAAACTGTACAGAAGTTCAGTTACAGCAGCATCGCTGGACCTGATCTAAGTCAGACTGCCTCAGAGGTAGGGTTAACTTAGATCAGGTCAGCCATTTTTAGACCAATCTAACTGTCCTGAACTTCTGTGCAGTTCAAGTGTAAGGTCTGTACCTGGACAAACTAAGTTAGATTGGGTAGCCATTTTTAACATGATCTAACCTCCCCAAATGTCTGTATGTACTTATACTCTGCTTCGGCAGCATATACTTGCACATTGCAATTCTTGCAAGCAAAGCTTTTTTTGGAAGAAGTGGCAATACAGGGGTGCTTAAATATTACCCAGATATTTCAACACAACAGTTTTCTATGTAATCCCAAAACAAACAAACTTGTTGTCCACAGGGTAAAAGTTAAAATATTTTGTATAACTGATCATTAGGTGAGCAAATAAAAGGAACTGGGTTTTAACCTTTTTGATATAACTGACTGCAACATTTGAGAAATAAGAAAATCCTAGGAGAAAATGTGTAAAAGGAGTTGTCTGCTATTTTTATTCAAGTTTGGTTTGGTTTAGAAAATGAATGGGAAAAGATAACGAGAACAGATAGATGGTTTATATTCACTGGGTATATTAATGCCAACAATTCTAGGAAAACATTTTTCTTCATTTTCTGCAGTATTTTGATAGTTGTACATCTGGCCTGTTTTTGAATCTGAACTGTGGCTTGGCATATCTGCAGTCTTTCACTCATACTTTACTGCATCATTTTCAATTTCCCCCTTTGGGTACGCAATCAGAAATTAGGTGTTGCCATACCATAGCTTAAGTACATACTGAGATTACTTGAGTTCTGTCTATTGTTTATTTTAATTTTAATTGCTATAGCATTCACACTTTGAAATAAGTTAATAGAAATCATGATCTATGCAACTGTGAACTTGGTCCCATGCATTTCACTGGAATCTAAGAATCTATTACAGTAGGTGTACAGAGAGAAAAATTGATTCAGATAAATGTTAATCTCTACCCAATATACTTAAGGTAAACTATTTTAGACATTTGAGAGAATTGAATTAACTTGTTTATTTTACAGTTATAAACTGCATTTTTATAGACCCCCAAAATCTCTCTCTCTATGTTCCTTTTGTATTTTGAAGAACACATACTATAAATGTTTAACAAATAACAGCAATAGTCATTTTGCTTTTCTGGGTGAGACCCAGGGAAGTGGAAGTGGACAGAGTGGCATGGAATTTTAAGGTTGTGAAATATTATTTGAGGAATCTTTTTTTTCATACCTTGTGGATTCACTAAAAGCTGCCCAGAGCCTTCTTTGGATATTGAGGCATATAAACCTAATCAATCAATCAATAAATAATAACCTTTAAACCAGTGCAACAGGAAGTTTTCTTTTTGACTGGTGGTTGGCTGATTGCTCCATCATCCAGAGGTTGGGTAGGTTCTGCTTCCTGGATTGAGTCATCAACATTATCTGATCCAATTTCCACTTTCATGATTTCTGTTTTTATACTTGATTACCTGTTTCAAATAAGAACCATGAAAAATTATAATGCATGTTAAAACAAGAGGAATCAAAAGGAGCTGGTTGAATTTTTCCTCAGAACATTTTTTTTTTGGTTATTTTTATTGTCAAAGCTAAATCTTTTCACTGGAAAGGTTCATTTTCAATAACTCCTCAAATACATTTTCTTTTTTTTTCCTCTAAATTTGAAATGCTCTGTCTTGTCACTTCAGGAAAAAAAGTTCATTTTTGGGCTTATAATAACTTTTCATTTCAAATTTTAGTTAATTTGCAAAAAAAAAAGACAAAAATACATTTGAGATTGAAATATGACACTTCACTTGACATGACCATTTTTTAATTACTCATTTGTAAAATATTGTTCATCTTTTGACTTTTCATGCCAGCAGATTCACACACTAGTTCCAGCATGGATGGAGCACTTTGCAGACATGAAGGAGAGGGCCACACTTCCCACTTTGCAAACAGAATAGTTTATTATTAATTAAAAACTTGTCATGTGCATGAGGTTTAATCCATAGTATGGGCCAAACATTTCATATTGTACTTTCCTTGTTTTCTTTGCTACGTGGTATGTGTTAGAACTGGCAAGTAACAAATAAACTATTCTAATATAATAAAGTCTGTGTATGTGTGTGTCTGTCTATGTCTGTCTGTCTGTCTGTAATGCTTTTGGACAACTGCACATGTGCCACTGAGAGGGCTGGTGGCAATTGCCTGTGGGGGCTCCCACCACCTCAGGCAGGGAGGCGGGAGCCCCACTGCTCAGCGGCAAGAGGCGGAGGTGGAGGGCAGGTGGTGGGGAGAGAGGAGCTGCCACCACCACCACCGCCTCAGGCAGAGGGAAGCCTCAATGCTCCACAGGAGGTGGAAGTGGGCAGAGCGGAAGGGAGTTGAGGTCACCAATGCCTCAGGCGGAGGGTTGCCCTGTTGCTCCACAGGAGGAGGTGGAGGTGGGTGGGGAGGGAGCTACCACTGCCTCGGGCAGAGGGAAGCCCCGCTGCTCCACGGGAGGAGGCAGAAGCAGCTGGGCGGGGGGCAGGGAGCCACTGGCACTTCCCTGTGCCAGCTCAGGCAGAGGGATGCCCCGCTGCTCTGTGGGAGGAGGCGGAGGTGGGCAGGTGGGCAGAGGGAAGGGAGCTGCCACCATCACCGTCTCAGGCAGAGGGAAGGCCCGCTGCTCCATGGGAGGAGGCAGAGGTGGGTGGGCTGGGGGGAAGGAGCTATCACTGCTGCTGCTGCTTCCTGAGGTGGAGGGAAGCCCTGCTGCTCTGCAGGAGGCGGTGGCGACGGGCAGAGGGGTGGGAGCCGCCGTGCCAGAGTCTGGAGGAGGAGGCAGAGGTGGTGGAGGGACTGCTTACATGACCGGCCCAGACAGGTCTGCGGGAGGGAGAGGGGCATGTAAACACTCCCTTAAACACTCCAGCAGTCATGACAGGCAATTGGCTAGTATGCAAACATTTTTCTCCCTCCAAGTATTTTAAAATGTACATATATTTATAAACCATAAAATTAGAAAATATTTACAGAAAGGAAACACTTGCTGGCACATATCATTTCAGTTAGAAAGTAGAGAAGGACCCTAACTGCAGTCAGAAACCTGAAGAAAAGCCATTTCAGAGCCCCAGTCAGATAGTGAATCTATTAAAAGATACACAAGCTCAGAAATGACCCAAGCATTAAACCTCATAGTCCAAAATAAGAGCACAAAAATCCTTCAACACCAGAGTCATCTCATTTATCCCTTCTCACTACATCTGTAATTTGAGTACGAGGACAAAAATAAGTCTAGATAAAAAGGTTTCCCCATATAAAAGCTGGAACATTTAGAAAGGTGGATGGACTTTCTCCCAGCTGGAAAAAATCTAGTCGCATTGGCAAATATCATTATCACAGGTCATACCACAGAGCAGTGAGGGCAACATTTTCAAAAGGGTTTGATATAGCACCGGTTCAAGACGCATGTGGTTTATGACTCAAGACCCTGTGGTAAGTAGAAGTCAACTGGCATTAGCTTAGACTTTAATGAAAAAGTGGTATGGTGTCAGGGTTAGCCTCCCCTTGCCAGCACAGGCCAAGAGCAAGTACAACACAGTTACTGGGTGCATCTACACGAGATGCTTACTGCACAGTAGCCTAACAGCACTACGCAGTAGTGTGCCGGTCAAAAACCATGCTAATATGCTACGGTGTTATTTGACTATTGTACAGTAAATGTCACAAAAAAACCATGTGCCAGTGTTACTGCACAGTAAATTGTGTTACTGTGCATAAAGTTAATACTTTATTAGCAAGTACTAAACTAAATTCACAGTAACTACTGTGCATTAATGAACATGTAGATGCACCCACTGAGGAGCAGATGATATGAAGTAAAGCCCTATTCCTTTTGCCTTCTGGTACATTACACATTCACCCTTTAAGGAACATCTACATGTGCATTAATGTGGGAGGTAACAGCTATGAGAGCCACTCTAATTGAAGCACTGCAGCATCTCCTGCATCAGCATTCCCACACTTAAAAATGGCATTTGATGAGCTTTAGTTCAAGTGCCCCCACTGCCATTTTTAAGCATGGGGACGCTGATACACAAGACACAGGAGGCTGCTGGAGTGCAGCATTTGCCATGCTCCAGCAGACTCAATTAATCAAGTCTGCTCTGATACACTGGAATTGCAGAGTGTTGGAGCAGCCTCAACACTCATGTGTAGGTGCCCTCCATTGCAAGGTACTAATAAAATGTGCGCTAGCCTGTCTTAATGCTCATTAACTAAAGAGCATGGTTTTTATTAGTGACGCTTTAGTGCACATTAAAATAGGCTAATGTGCATTAAAGTGCACGTGTAGATGTACCCTTTGTTTCTCTGGCTCAGGGACTTAAGCAGTTAAATGCTTATGGAAACCCAGGCTCCAATTGTTCATCTGTGAATTGTAAGTATGCTAAAAACTGTGAGATGCATGAATGATAGCAATTAATGCTAAGGACTATGTAAGTGGGTTTTTTACAAGATGATGGAGTCATTGTTGGCAATCCCTCAATTTATGGATGGTCTCTATCACAGCTCATTGATGGATCTTGAAGTGACTTAAAAGTCCCATCCTTGAGCCACAGATGTATCCACAGAAATTGCAGGTCTTTTTGCAGGGGCCAGTAGGTTATGGATTGGGATTCCTCTCCTTTTCTTTCCTCTGTTCTCTCTCATCTGTTTTGAGGGCAAAGCATTTTATCTTGAAATGAGCTGTTGCTTAGTTGAGGCACAGTGATGTAACAAGACTTTCTAAGTGTCTGGATGTAGGGCAACAAGGAGAAAAAGTTTAAATAAAATGGGTATAGACATGGGAGACTCTGCAAAGGTATTAGGATGAAAATTATTAAGCTAAATTTTGGACTGAAGTGGCGTGGGTGCATGCCATAGACACAACAAGCTATGAAAAAAAATGAAATGCAAATTTTTGCAGGGATTAATCTAAATTAAAACATTTGTCTTCCTAAAATATAACATCCAGAGAAGTCAGCCTCAGGGGTGGGCAGTATGGCCAAGTGCCAAGGGCTCTGTGGTCAGGGGGCACCACAGACACGCGTGCACACACATACACCCAGCCCCACAAGCCAGTGACACTGCTGCATGCAGAGGCAGGCAGGCAGGCAGGCAGGCACGGGCACAGGGCACTGCCTGGCCAGACTCCTCCTGAGCAGCAGCTGGAGGCAATGGGGTAGGCTGGGCAGTATGGGTGGCTCTGCCTCTGCACTGGACTGTGCCTTATACCCCTGCCTGTAGCAGTTCCACTGACTTGGGCAGGTTGGGGGGAGGGGCACCAAAATAAAAGTTCACCCAGGACATCATTTTCCCTGAGGCTGGCTCTGGCATCCAGTTTGCTATTTGCAGCACATCTATTAACCTTAGCCCCTTCCCTTTAAACTTGTTTCTTATTTAGAGTTAAATAGGCCTACTCTTTATCCAATATTGTCAGGTTTTTTTCTTCTGCAAAAACATCAGGATAAGATTTTCCAAGGTGATTCATAATTCTCAAGGCTTAAACTGAGATCCTATGCAGGGGCTTTATTTTCAGAGAGTACATGTGTTCCACCTGTGCCCAAAGCCACCAATCAGTTTGATAAATTTTGGCCTTCGTATATATATGCACAGGCCTTTTCCATTCAAGAGAGTAGAGACATACATAAATGGAATAAACAGGTTTCATTAGTAGTTATAGCATGTCAGATGTAGAAAGACACACGCCCATAAAGTATTTTATCATCGGTCATTATTTAGAACCGTTTTGTCCTAGATTACCCTTCTTACTAGAACCATAGAAGTAGGGTTGGAAGGGACCTTGTAGATCTTCAAGTCCAACCCCCTGCCTGGGGAGGAAGAAAACCGGGCTCAAATGACCCCAGCCAGGTAGGCATCAAGCCGCTTCTCATAGAAATTCAACCCAAAATTCAAATCAGAAGTGAATGCATGCCATCTATTTCAATATAATGGGCCAGATCATCAAAGAATGAATGTTGTTTCACTGTTGCCAATTAATTGAATTATAGCAGCTCAGAGTCCAGATCAGTGTAATATATTTCTGTTATCCATACCCATGCTTCAGTACATTTATGGTTCTCTCCTCCCCACCTTCAATAACATTCATAGTGTTAGGTGTACTTAAAGGCAAAGCATAGAAGTATCTTCAATGGATTTGCGCAATAATGTTTTAATTTGTTGGATCTTCACAAATACTGTTTTTTAGTGGCCCATAGTTGTTGCATTTCTAGTAACAGTAACAGAAGAGGAGGAGAACAAACATAGTTAAGTTTGGCATAAACATATAGCCAGGTGAATGAATGACAAGCTTACTAAAACAACAATTCATAACTGGCAGCAGATATGACTGGGAAAAGGATGCCAGCATGATTCCAGTGGTATTCTAATTGGCTTTTATAGATCTCTGTCTATAGTCTTCTTTCCCATCATATCTATGTTGTGACTTGATTAATAGGGGTGTCCAAAATGGGCCCTATTCAATTTGGATTTGGCCCGAATCGGGGACAGTGATTCAATTTGTTGATTCAGATCACTGTCCCCAATTCGATTCGGCTGAATCCGAATCTGAAGATTTGGTGCTGATTCGGAGAACCAGTGATTTGGCCATAGACACAGCTTTAAATGTTTTTCTACATACCTCGAGGTACCAGGTGCAGCTCGTGAACACTGCAATGCTGGGGTGGATGGAGCATCCCACAGAAGTGTGGGGGCTCCCCAGCATGCTCCTCAGCTGACTCAGAAGTGGACCAGAAGCACTTCTGGTCCACTTCTGGGTCCACTGAAGAGCACGCAGGGGAGCCCTCCCACGCCCCTCAAGCTTCATGACTGGTGCCTCCTGGGCCTGGGGGGGGGGTACCTGGGGTCCCCCTGTTGCTGATCACCAAGCCGGGGAGTGCAGGGGGGGTCTCCCATGTGCTTGGCAGCGAACCCGGAAGCGGACTGGAACTACTTCTGGTCCACTTCTGGGTCTGCTACTGAGCATGGTGGGGAGCCCCCCATGCTTTTGTGGGACACTCCATGCACCCCAGCATCACAGCATTCACGAACCACCTGCTACCTACAGGTATGTAGAAAAAACATTTAAAGCTGTGTCTATGTCCGAATCGCTGAATCTTTCTGAATCTCCGTATTGATTCAGAGGGTTCCGATTTGATTCAGAGAGATTAAAGGGTCCTCTGATTTGATTTGGGTTCAGAGATTCAGCTGCCAAATCAGGCTAAATCTCTGCCGAATTGGATCAGGGACAGAAGCTTCTAACACCCCTATTGAATAACTGCATGTATCATTTGAGACAGTAGGGCATACCTTTTTGGCAGGTGTGCCACAAGTTAGTCCTGCCACTCTGATTCTCTTCCCCTGCTTGATCTGCTGCTCTGCTTTCTGCTCCCTGTCCTGTGTCCCCTTCCTGATGTGCTGCCCTGCTTTCTACTTTCAGATTTCTGTCCCATCTGCTGCTGTGCTGCCTGTCCCCTCCCACACACATAGGGTGCCTGTGCCACAGAGGTTGGCCACCCCTGGTTTAAGAAATGAAAAAGTGTAAGCTCATTATTGTGTTCAGTATTTGAGTCTAGGGAGGATAAGCTTTCAGAGTGCAGTGCAAGATTCAGGGTGACAATGATTAGTGAATAACATAGAGCAGAAGACAGCAATGTTATTCTGGCAGCAAGCTGAAATGACCCAGCTCAGGTTTGAGCCAGGTCACTGCCACTAGGACTGGACCAGCACTACTGCGTCTTCTCACTGCCTAGCCACAGTACAGCATGGGTGAAACTCCCTGCTTCTTGGTCATGGTATTGTACAAGCAATCTCTAGCTGCCTGAGCCCGGCTTACCCCTCCCCGCCCCAATCCAGCTGCAGTACAGAGTGAGTGAAGCCCCGCATTGCTAAAGCCCCCTGGCTCTGAGATGGAACTAATGGATCCATGGGCCATAGGTTGCCTGCACATAATACAGACCATCCATTTGTGAGATCTAAGAGCTTCTACACCACATTAAACACTCAGCGCAAGGCTAGCCAAAACCAAAGGATGACAGGAACCCCTGAACAAAGTGCCAGTTACAGATGTCCACATCACTTAAAATCACTTTTGAGGACTGATAAGGTATCATAAGATTTGCATAAGCTCTGTACTTCCAGCTTCTTGGGCTGGAATCCATCTCCTAATGAGTAGTGCAAGAACATTCATGAATTCAGTTTGGTTTCCCACTCACTTGTTACTAACTAATTACAACAGATAAGAAATGCATGACTACTAATTTAGATTGGATAACATTTATTGTTTTACAAAGATTGAGGTAGTACAACTTGTTACAAATTAGCAGGAAGAAGAAATACTGCTACCTCTATATCAATACTTATACTTTCACACTTTTAACGTTAACCACTTTTAAGGTTTTGACTCATGTTTTCTGGATTAGTCATCTTTGAAAGGCAGGACATCATCATATTAAATATAATGCATCATAGTCATATCCCATTCAGAATTCATTGGACCTATGTTGATTTATACCAGTGGAGGTCTACAGCAACATTTTTATTTGATTTTTGAATATATTAAAAATAAAGAATATCTTTTAATTTTTCAGCTCGTATAATATGAAAAATAATTCATACATTTTCATGACTTCAAAGTACTATGTAGGGCTATAGTGCTGTATATTTCATACTTGTATTACCATTGTACTTATATTATTACTGTACTAGTGCTTGTATTGCTTATGCAGTATATATTGCAGCATACTGAACTATCTTGTATTATACTTTGCATATATATGGCTTTTTAATTGTCACCACTGTTTTCACATGCCTATATTATTTGACAATATCCATGTGCACATATGTATACCCAAAATGTTTATTGTTAAGCTTTCACAGGTAGTATTTATCATAAAGGATATTCCTAATGCCATCCTAAGTTTCTTAAATTCAAAAAATAAAAAATGATAACAGTTATCATTATAGTGAAGTGGGGATTTTATATACAGATTTATCATAAATCTTAAAAAGAAAGCAAAAATCACATTTAAAATGTGCCTACCTAGATTATGCATGCAGCAGAAAAGCAGCTATCCCATCTCACAAACTGTTGAAAAACTGAGCAATCTCTCCTGTGTTCGGATATTTATCAGCAGAATCATTAACTTTCCAATATGGCCAGTTTCCTAGGCAAACAGAAATTAGAGGTTAGGTACACTGCTTTAATCCTTTTATATTCTCAGGGCTGCCCTCTCTTAAGTGCCCCAAATTATGTGTGTGTGTACAGGATTAGTTTGGTAGAAAAATGTTCAGAATTAAATTGGTAGAATGAGTTTTGGGCAAAACAAATGAGAGTCTGTTGGTTTTAATGCACGCAAGATATGTCTACAATACAACTACTCATGACACCAGAATCAAATGTCATCACTCCTTTTAGATTGTGTAGCCCTTAATATTGTTATGCCTGTTTTTTGGGATTTTTTTAACCTGCTTCAGTCAACTATACCATAATTAATAACGCTGACATTTAGGTCATTACAATTAGGCTTTGTATTTGATATCGCATTTAGTGAGCAGAGACAATTCACAGTTTTTAGGGCTATTGTTTCAGGGTCTAAAGGAGACCTCATCAATTTAGACACCCTTCCCAAACAGTTCTAGTTGCATCATTTTAAAACAGAACTCCAGGTCCTTTCAGAAGAGATTCACCTTCTAGCAAAAGACAACATCTTGCCCCCTCAGCAATGCAGTTAGAAATATGCAGTTAGAAATATGGTGTTAATGATAGGATGAAACAAATAATCAGACTTGAATAACCTATTCTCATCAAGTGTGTTCCCCACTGTTGTAGGCAACCACATTATAGAGTCCCTTTAATAAACAAGCCTTTCTAAATAAACTACTCTTTCTGAAACTGACCTAAAATGTCACTGATGCCTTATGTTCTGATGGTTAGACACCTTCTCCAATTCCCAGACTAAATTAATTCATGACCAATTTAAATCCATTAGAACTTAAACCAGTTATCTAGTTGTTTTCTTTGGCATTTACACCTTGAACATAGTTATAACAAGTAATCATATTCCCTCTCAATCTTAATTTTTTTGGGGGGGGGGGGGGGCT